AAATTCAAAACAACGGTAGTAGCTTCAGATAGAAAATGAGCTCTTTCCATTAGTTATAAACGTGTACGTTAATTAAAAATACGTGGTTTTGAAAACTTCTGTCCTGGATTGGGAACATTTATTGATATTTCAGTTAATAGAGTAGCTACGACACCGAAATTGTACATTTGATTTTATCGTTGCTTATATATCGTGTCTATATTATTTAGATGTTGTAGATGTTATACGATTGAAGTTATATAAACTAAACTGGGGAGAATCGCGAGTGCAAGCACGTCATGTCACAACAAAAATGAAGATTGAGAATTCTTTAAAATATTTTTGAAATTAATAAATCAAACTTGGATAATATAAAATGTCAATTATAAACTAGATTCGGGTGTTAATTTTATTTACATGCATGGATAATAAAGTTCTTTAGTCAAATTTTGAATGTAGCTATGTAAACCATTACTTAAAAGCTAAATGATTGGAGTTTTGGAACATTCTATTCTAATGACTGATATATTTTGGGTTATAAAATGCATATTTGAAAGATATACGAATTTGTGTTTGAAAAAATAGGCCCCTTAAGCCACGTTTTTTAGTGCACCTATTTCACAATGTGCAGTACATTGGTGTACAAGTATCTTCCAATATGTTCCCGCTGTCTTCACAGAGGAATGGACTGCTTACATGGTGCAAGCCAGGCAATAAAGGTATGAAACTAAAAGACAATAGATGTGAAAAGGTTAACTGTTAAAATTGTAAATATCGTTAATTAAAGAAACAAATTATGCATTCAAAGAAGAAAAAGGCAATGTTCATTTTCTTTGTTTTCATTTCAATCTACATTGATGATTTGGCTAAAACGAGGGATAAGGTAGAAAAAAATAACAGGTAAAATATATAATCTTACCGAAAAAATTTTTTGATATTTATTTAGTAGGCTCTATAGATTAAGCTAATGAAATATGAAAACTGTAACATGAAAAGAAGTATTTCTATTGTTATCATAAATGACCTTTCACTCGAAATTACTCAGTAGATGCTTTGTAAATTTATGAGCAAATCTTTGAAATACATTCTTTATTGCCCCTCGGTGGCACAGCGGTATGTCTGCGGATTTACAACGCTAGAATCCGGATTTCGATACCCGTGGTAAGTAGAGCACAGATAGCCCATTGTGTAGCTTTGTGCTTAATTACAAACAAACAAACATTCTGTATTAAAAATCTGATTTTTCCCCTGGTGGAACAGCGGTAAGTCGTCGGATGTGGCTTCGCTACAAGAAAAACACACACCATCGGATTTTTGTATACAGTATACTTATAATATTTACTAAAAGTCTGCAAAATGTTGTGACTATATATCTAATACTTTCATAATCATGATATGTAAAGTTTAATGGTTGCACTGTGATTACAAGGTTTGTAATAATAACGAAGCTCGATTTCAGAGAGTTAACAAAGAATGATGTCTTTTCTAATGGGTAAGAAACAAGACTCATTCGTGAAATTTAGAGATTCTCTGCTAAAGATACCAATTTTGAGTTACCCAAGCTATACAAATAATTCATTTTATGCACAGATATTTTAGCTTATGCAACAGGAGCAGTCCTATTAAGTGTACTAAAGTTACTGGAATTTCGTAGCATTATAGAGGACTGTTGCCATGATACAACATCAAAATAACTATAAATATAAGCGAATTGAAAACAATGAAGGTGGATTTATAGATGTGATAAATAAAGATTAATAAATGGATATTATTGATTAACGTATCTTAAAAGCAAGCACATGTAAAATGGTTAGACAGTTGAATCTATTTGGATAAATAATTGTAATTGTCTGTTACAATATAAGTTAATCTAATAAAAAACAAGTATTTTTTATTTTATATGATATTTTTCAACTTTTCATTTCAATGTACATTGATGGTTTTGCTAGAGATAATTTTAGGAAAGAACAAATAAGGGTTAAAGTATATAGTTTTACCAAAAAACTCTATGTTAGGATGTTCTAGAGTTTATGCAAATAAAATAAGAAACTATAAGATGAAAAGAGTATATTTACACTTGGTATAAAAATCTTCATTCACCCAGACTGACTCAATATAGACTTAGTGAATTCATTGACACATATTTAGTATAAATGCTTTATTAAAAATCTCATTTTTTGTGCACTAAAAATATTCAGTACTGTGCAAAAGTGTTAGGACAAGAAAATATTTTGTCATTCTTTCCATTTTATGGGACTAATTCTTCCATGCCATTATAGAATGTAAATGCCAACACTATGGTAATGCTTCACTGATCCCGATTGACAATTGAATGAGCCAGAGTGATAATACTTAACATTCTTTAGAATTTCTATATACTTGTATCAAGGGCATGTCATTAGGGTTCTGCTTGAATGA